ATATGACATTTATCTAATAATGGAAAACGGCACCTTTCGATAATTAAAAATTAAACATCGTTTCGGTGAAAAAAAATCAATTTCATAAAAAAAAAGAAGGAAATGCATGGGTAACAGGCATTGTCCATTAGCCAAGTATACATTACACGCGAAGATGATTTAATAGTGGGTGCACATATTACATTTATGACCAACGTCATTAAAACGCGTCGATAAACCATGCGATTGTCGATGGAGGATATACACTTTGCGTTTTTTCCTACGCTTCCTATACGCTACGCCTCCGCATTAAGTGGCTTCTAATTATCGGAAATTAGATTTAGATAGTGCTCCTCTTTCTGTCGCGTTCTCCTTTTTTTTCCGTACCGAGGTTGCTAATTTCTCGATAACGGGCCGCGCTACACCATCTTGCCGTTATCGAAATTTACTGCGAATCGATTGCGTTGCCATAACGCCTACGCGCGAATGTGGGGCGGATAATAAAACCGGGGGGGAAAAAAGAGCCAAGCCTGGGCAAGGTCGCCGCTGCTGAAGCGGCGACACACAAATGTCAAGGGATCCTGACATAGTTTTGGCTTCCCTCAAAGCAAACGATAGAGTCGGCTGCACCCCCGTCCCTGTCCTCCCCTCCGTGCATTCGTCGATCGCTTATCACACGAACGAGTGGATACGCATATTCGCGTTCCGATCTCGTCGCGAGATTGTATCGAAATCTTTTTTTCACTTTTTATTTTCAATAGCATTATAGTTTAAGAATTCGGCGAGCGACGTTCAATTTATTTCACCGAGTTCCATACAGTCGTTATACATTATTTAACTTTAGTGCCACACATATGCGCTCTTTGCGGGCCTTCAAAAAGATCGCAATCGCGCACCAATATACGCGGCTTTTCAATTATCTCGCTCATATCTGGCATTACCGCTGCACTTGGAAAACAATTTATCATTCTTACGCTTTCTCCTTTTTTTTCTCCTCCTGCGAGAGATATATTAAAAAGCTATTCATCAACACCTCCCGTAACTGCGCTTCTCGGAAAACAATATTTCGAGAAGATTTGTTGCGTTAATTAATCTTTAATGTATAAAGTGTAACCTGCTGCCTCTATATTGACAGCGCTACCGCAAACGGGCATAAATACTTGAAGTTTACGATCGCGCGGAGGAACGCTGCGCGCGAGTCTACTTTGGGAAATTATCCGTATGGAAATTTATCCGCGCGTCCGCGGTACAAACGGTGCGGCGAGTCGGCGCAAGACTCTCTGTCAGTCATACCGAGGACGATTAGATAGTCGAGCTACGGAGAATACTGCGTATTTAATATTGCCGAGATTATCGCCCCGGTCTCGGCGCGCGAATGCCTGCTCCGATACACTTTGCGATACCGAAGCCGGCAAAGATACTTTATGAGACGAGTATCAATAAATTACCTCTACTACCCCCCCGAACGTTAAAACCGCGCGGTTTTACTTTTCCTCCCCTCGAGGTTCATCCACAAATAATTCAAATCCGGTTCTGATGCACAGGTTCAATCCGGTCGTGTGCAGTTTTCTTCGTGTATATAGTTACGGCTCGATATATCGAACTGCTAGGGCAATTTCGAAGGCGATGAACAATCATTTCGCTCATTACTCCGACTTAATCCACGTAATTGTTTAACGATTCTCTCCGAAAATTCTCGCTCGCCGTCAAAGTATTTACAGGCATATTCGTCGTACATCGTAATGTCGGTTACATCGTAATGAAATATTCACGAAATAATATCAATGTTTTTTTTTTAGTATCCGTTCCCATTTCGTCGAGTTTTCACCCATGCTCGCTCGGTGTCACGTCGACCGATAACAAGCGTCGGTGACAATGTCGCTATTATCGTCGAAAGAAATACAGAATCTTTTCCTCCGAATAACCAAGTCACGCGACCGTTTGATAAATTCGTGAACGAAATATGTGTGCGCGACCGTTTGATAAATTCGTGAACGAAATATGTGTGCGCGATAAAGGAAACGAGAGAGACTGAAAAGGTTATAAATAACAACATTATTCTCGTCGCGGCTGAGATATATTTGTTCGGCAGCGAATTAACGATACGTCCTTCTTTCCGGTGAAAAAAAAAATGGTTTAATCAAATTTCTGGATAGATCAATTGCTTGTATATTTGATGACAAAAATATGCAGGATTAAAATTTTTGGAATAACCAAGTAAAACACAATTATCAACATCGCTGTACGTACGTATATCTCGCGGAATCAAGCTCGGAATATAAATGGCAAATTTGTAAGCAAAATTGACCGGAACCAGATTAAATTATACATGGCAGGGCGATGTAAAGGCGATTAGAGCGTTCGCGCCGGTGTCAGCGAAATAGGAATAAGTCGCAATATTACTCAGCGAGCGCGAATAATTAAGGTCGCACGTCGGAGATTACGAGGCGGCGTTCGAGTAACACGCTTATCGATAAAAGCGTACGTGCCGCACGAGGATGCGTGGCTCGGCAAACAAAAAGGCGCGCGCGCGTACGCACGCACATACGCGTTCGCCGCGGCTTTTGTTTTCGAAAAGCCAAAAAAGATCGCGGACAATCGAGAGCGAGGACGATATGAATCCCGCTGCTCGTGTAATTTACGTTCCAATATCTGCGGCTAAACGCAAGCCGCATAATTATACGATTTTTCGATAGCAGAGCGTTTCGTACGCGCAGCGTTTACGTATGGAAAACGATCGCTTCTCAATGTCATTGTATTTTTATGTCTACCACACTCTCTACGATTGCTTCTAATATATTTTCCACAACGTATTGTATTGCAAACAAATTTACGTGAAATAAACGACTACAAAAAGTAAATGCTACTTGAAACACCGAATTATTTCACCGAAATATGTTGCCTTCATGCAGACGTTAATAGGTCCACTAGTCAGAAATATTTGACCTGTAAAGATTATGTAAATTGCTACATTAAACAGGATGGTATTTCTCCCGTTGTGAAAAGAAGTGCCGTATACCAAATAGTATATATTATCAACGGCTATAAAATATAAGGAACTGCAGACGAGGCCGGCAATCGTGAACGATATTTGAATAGTATCTATCCGATTTTATTATTATTATCACGCGTGACCCTCAAGCAACCAGCGTCATCATTGCTCAATGTCATCTTTCAGATCCTACGCGCGCGATAGCGCGCGGGGCTTCACGTTGCTCCATTTTATCCATCTCGCGCATCACCGCGAAACAGGTAAAACGCTACGGGAAGACTACAGGTGGCATTCACAGGAGGGAATTCGCAAGGTGCAATCTAAGACGCGATCCGCACCGCACCGCAACGGGGATGGAATGCTCGCCGCGTTAAGCCTCCTCGTACCGCGGGGGGACGTCTCGACCCCGGTGACCCACGGAAGTCCCGCGGACGGTGGAGGTGTTAATACGTAGTCTCGCGGCGCGTTATGACCTACAGAGAACAGTCTATCGAAGATTACAGCGGACGTGACTTTCTGCTTCTCATCGGCTCTCTCGCGCACGCGTCCACGGACGGATGATCGCCTCTAAATACCTCCTTCTTCTCCTCCTTCTCCTTGCCTCCCGCACTCCTCGTCCGTCCCTCTGCCGCCGCTGCCGCGCCGCGTCGTCGCCCGCGTGTCTTTTGCTCGGCTCTAACCGGGGGGGCCCCCCGAGCGGCGCGAGCGGGACGGGATGACACGTCTTTAAGAACAATCGCCCGTTGTGAAAGCGCATCGCCGCCGCCGCCGCGCCGCGCCGCGCCGTAGTACGTGCCGGTCGGAATATCCACAGCACCGCGCGATGTAATATAAACGGCACGAGAAACGAAACAGACGGGGACAGAGAGGGAGAGAGAGATCGCGGGCGTTTTCCCGCCTGCGATCGATATATCCGTGATCGGTACCGCGAGAGAGCCCGCCGTCGATCGACGCGCGGGGATTTCGCGTCGATGCCGAGGCGCCCTTCGCGAGGAAAGGACTCCGGCGGTGAACACCGATAAATAATTAACGACTACCGCACTATCGCTGCTATTGGCTACCGTTCTACCATACCGCTGGTAACAGTGCGCTACTCCACGTTTCACGAAAATTGCAGGACTCGAGAAAACTTGTTGTGTTTTAACGTACGTTTTTTCTCCTTTTCTCTCTCTCTCTCTCTCTCTCTCTCCCGATGCTTGCAAAATCCTGCGGAGATCCGGACTCGAAAAAAAAAAACACGATCTCTTCGAAATACGCGGACGGGGAAATTGAGAGATTTTACTCGTAAAATTCAACATCCGCGCGAATGACAGTCAACGCGATAACAACGTTGGTGGAACGTTGAAGAGGCGCATCCGGAGGCGAGGTGTGAGTCGAGGTCTTCGATTCTCGATTCTCGACTGACGCAGCGAGACTCGACAGTCGAGTTCGTTTGAACGAGCGATTTTTTTTTCCTCACGTTTCGTACGAGAGCAGATAATAATTGCATTTTCCGAACGACGAGCACCACATTCACAAGTATAAACTCCGCACCACCAGCGGTGAACTTTGTAAAAGAAACGCTGTGTAACTTGACTTCACTCGGTAAGCTTGGAAAGTTTCATATGGTGGTTCTCACGTCCACTTGTACTAATGTGGAGTCACTTTAATCTCGATATGACTTACCTTTCTACCCTTTTCGGACTCGAAAAAGATAAAAGAGTTAATTAATTAAATCTAAGATTAAAATGAATCTACCGCATTAATAAAAATGGAATTAGAATGCGAAAATTGCATTATTATGAATGAACACTGCGAGATGTCAAGGCAGATAATCTAAAATAAGATTGAGAGGCGCGACGCTGAGATTGCCAGGTACAGACATAAATCTCATCATCTGCAGTTCATTAGAAAGGCTTGTGCCGGATGCGTAAACGGCAAAAAAAAAAGGCGCGCACTCGAAGAGTCACACACTTCGGAGTAGCTCCGGACGAGACAAGTGATATACCCGTTGAAGTTAAGAGACATACACCAAGTAGGGAAAACTCACCTCTGCGGCGACTGCAATATCGCATTATCCTTGATTAAAGACGACCGCGAAGGGAGCCTCCTTCGCGACGAGGCGTAATCCAAGAGTGATCGTCGCGTATATACATACGCGCTCGCGCAAATATGTATGTACACGTACGTGCGTATATATGCGTATTCACGATACATATATTATGTATCGCGTAGTAGACAGATACAGTGGAAGTACACTAGATCACACAGAGCACACTGTTTTCCCTCGCGCGATACCACGAGCGATCACCACGGTGGTGCTGCTGCTGCTGTTGCTTGTTCGCTTCGTTAATCGTCATCGTCCATCGGCAGGACGACGAACACTGTCACTACGACGCTCGACACTGCGACGCCGGCCGTTCATCACCTCGTCATAGGCACATTACGACACGACGACGAAGACGACGCGACGACGACACGACGACGACGGCGATGGCGATGGCGACAATGACGACGACGACGACACACGGAATGTGTGTTCGGAGACCCGAAAGGAGCGCACAGGTAGCACGACGACCACGCTCCGCACGAGCCACGAGCCAACTGAAGGCGATAACCGGTCGGCGGAGTGTTCCACGCGCGTGCGACTCGACGGCGATGCGCCGCTTCCCCCTCCCTCCCGCACACCCGTCCGCTCGTCCGTCCGCCTGCCTGCCTGCCTGCCTGCCGGTCCGTCCGTCCGTCCACCCACCCTATTACCCTCTTCTCCCTTTCGTGCGCGTTGAGAGAGAGAAAGAGAGAGAAGGGGTAAGACTTCTCCGCTCCGCACGATATACCGGCCGTCGTCGAGTCCTTGTGACGGCGCAACTACGACGACGACGACATCGTTATCGCGTCGATCGCGTACGCTTTTCCGGCGGCGGCGGTGGCGGCGGCGCGTGGTTTAACGCGCGTCGTACATACGTTCCCGTTCACTTTATTCGGAGAGCGGGCACACGTCGTCTCTCCTCCGGCTCCGGATCGCGCGCTCACCGGAAGAAATATTCAAAGCGAGAAAACGCACAACGGCCGCATGCCAGTTGCCGGCGCTCTTCGGTCTCCCTTCTTCCGCCTTCTCCTTCTCCCTCTGCTGGCTGCTCCGCTGCTGCTGTTGCTGCTTGCTTGCTTGCTTGCTTGCTTGCTTGCTCGCTCGCTCGCTCGCTCACTCGCTCGCTGCTGCTGCTGCTTCTCCTTCTCCCCTCCGATCGGGTGGCTACCGCCACCGCCGCGCGCGCTCGTTTCACCTCTTTCTTTCTCTCGCGCGCGTGCGAGATTCCCGTCCGCGGAAACTTTATTTATATCCACCGGCCGCGGCAGTCGCGCGCCTCAGTCTGTCACGGCGCGTAGCGTCGGCGCGGCCGCTGCACCAGCGTCTTGGATACCGAGAGATCGACAGACGACTCTACACACGACGACCGGCGACGACGGTCTGCGTCTGAATCGTCGCGACGGCGTGAATGGTGTGACCGTCCCCGGTCACGTTGAAAATTGTTCTTTCTTTCTTTTTCTTTCTTTCCGTTCGCCTATCTTTTTTCAGGAGCTGACGAATACGAAAGGTGCAAGGGTACAAATTGACAGAGAGGTCGGAAGCGCGAAGAAAAGAAAAAGAAAAAAAAAAGAAAGATACAGGAGTGGCGAGGGAAGGAGAGAGAACGTCCTCCTCAGTATTCGCGGACGGCTGATTCCGACTATACTCGGCTGACTGACTACTCCGCGCCGGGTAGTAGCATTGGCCCCGCGCTAAACGGTTGAAAGTAATACTGTCTAGTGAGAGGCTGTTGGGGCCCCGACGGCGTCGTTCCCACTCGCTCCCTCTCGCCACGTTCTCCCCCGATCTCTCTCCCTCGCTCCGGCGTCACCTTCTCGCTCGTACCGTCGCGCTCTCCTCTGTCTCCGTCGCGCGCGGCCGCGCGCGGCCGTGTGTCCTTGTTCTGCGTCGTTTCGCCGTCACGATCGCGTCTCGTACATGTACATACATACAGACAGACACACGTATATATACACCGATTTCTCTCCCTGGTTGGGTGGGTGAACTCCTTGTCGAAGACAGAGGTAGAGTGGACGGTATGAGTACCGTCGTGTAGCGATGGGCTTTACCCATATCGGTGTGGTGGGAGAAGCTTGACACATACACGCACGCGCGCGTGCACACACGAGTGCGCGCACACATGTACACGCAGGGGTAAAGGGAGAACACGGCGACGCGCGCTCAGCCGCCATCTGGTGGAAGGGAAGCATGATCTGCGACGAAAGGGTGGAAGAGGGGTGGGAGGGGGATACGGCTGCGCCGAACGAGGGGAAGGAGCGATAGAGCGCGACGCGGTGGTAAGGGTGGACGAGCGCCGGCGAGAACGAGATGGAGCAGGACGCGCAAGGGTTGGAGCAGCGAGGGGTCGCTCTCCTCCGTGCGACCGAGGGGTGTCGCCGCCGGTGGGGGCGATGTATGTGTGCGCGTACGTGTGCGCGCGTTGAATGTGTGTGACCTGTGAGCTCTAGTTCCCCTCCATTCAATCCACGGCCACAATATCGGTTATAGCGAGCCACTGTTGCCAGATTGCGCGCCTCGACGGCAGCGGCGACGGGGTAGCGGCGGCGGCAGCCAACGGTGGTAGTAGTAGTGGTAGTAGTCGTGGTAGCCGATGGTAGTTGTAGTGGTGGTGGTGGTGGTGGTGGTGATGGTGCCGTGTGGGTGGAGCCACAACGATAGAGGGAAAGGTCCCCTCTCCGTCGCTCCTCTTCGTCCTCTCATCCACCCGACGTCGCCGCGCCGTTGTCCTCCTCTCTCAGCCTCGTGCTAGCTGCCTCGATCCGAGAAAACCGGCGGCGTCCGTCGCCCGTCTCTGTCGCGCATCTCCCTCGCGCTATCCGTTCTTCTTTATCCCGTCGCCCGCTCTTTCTGTACGCCTCACGGCGTTCGTCCTCCGTCTTCCGTTGTGTCGGCTGCTCCCGCGGCCTGTGTTGTCGCTACCGGGACACGGATCCCTACCCGAAACCCTGGCCGCGTGCAGAGCGTTTCTACGTGTGCCGGCGAGAACTTATGCACCGGCAGGTATGCGTGGCCTGTGTCGTCTCCCGATGACACATCGCCCGTACGGCATGCAGATGCGGGTTCGTCGTCTCGAGTAGGAGACAGGCTTCTCGCGCGTCGCAGACGACGCCGAGACGAACAGGAGCGTTCGCAGTAATCTACGTTCAGCTACCGAATCATGACAATATGTCCTTTAACAACAGTTCGCACCAGCTTTACTAATTATTAAATTGAAATTTCTTTTTAACTTTACATAATTTTGGGTCCTTTCTAATTTGCGTCTACTACTACCCTTATTTTATCTCTATTAGATACACACACACACACACACACACACACACACACACACACACACACACACACACAAAAGCTTTATATATATAAATAAAAAATATGCAGGAGATGGCCTTCTAAAATATCCCACTGTTACAGATGGTACGGAAAAATATGTAAAGAATGTGTGAGAGAAATGTAAGAAACATGAATGAAATGTGCAAGAAATGTGTAAGAAATGCGGAAAATCAGAAAGGAAATTATTTGGTTTAAAAAGGGCAAATGTTATGATCATCAAAATCGTCTAGCGTCAAGATTAATTTACACTTCAGATTGCAACATACAATCTGAAACAATCTTACGACATATTTTTCTTTCATATTTCACTATATAATACCTTTGACTTTGCAACAATAATTTGTTCCTTACACATTTCTTTTATATTTCGTGTATAATTGAATCAAATGAATACTGCAATAATACTGTCGACGTATACAAATTTAGCATAAAGCATCAAAATAGAGCCGCTTCGCTTAGAGACGCTTATATATATCGTTCAATTGCAAAATCATTAATTTTAACCGGCATATTGGCACCACTTTACGATAGACACGCGAGGCTTTTCCTGAAGCAGCCAAAACCGCGGACGAGACAAATAGGCATTCCAGATTTATACTGTCTGACGTATAGTGAGAAAAATGTACCGCATGTACGGGCGCGCACGCACGTTCCGTTAATATATTCCCAAGGCATTCTCTCTTTCTCTCTCTCTCTCTCTCTCTCTCTCTCTTTCTCTCTCTCTTTCAGTCGGTCCAGCAGACGTAGATCGAGAACGTCGAAACGGGATTTCACGTTTAGGCTGCGCATGTTCCGCGCGTGCGCGTCTATTAAGCGAGAACGCTTGATTACGCTCGTAAGAAACGTTCATGAAGCCGGTAAAATGAAATTGGAAAGAATTTTTTCTGCGATAATTATTCGATAATCTCAAGTTTCTCTCTGACAGTTCCGAACACTTTTTAAATTTAAGTAACAGAAAGAGACAACTTGAAATTACTTTCATCCCTTTTATATGCCAAGGATCATTAGGATCAAATAGGGAAAATGTCAATAATTCTTAAAGATTTTAATTCGTCTGAAAAAAAAGATAGATAAATATTTCTAGCTATAAACCGGAATGGAGAAATAATCATTTATATTTTACATTTACGCGGAATGCGTAATAAGAAAAGGAAAGTGTATGTTACATCGTAAATACGTTACTAGGTCTCTAAATTTTTGGGATTTACGAGAAGAGATTTGATGTTCAAGGTCGAACGAAAGCTCAAGCGCCCCTAACAGAAAATTCTTAGGTCTGACAACACTGGTTACATTCGAGAGAGCCGCCTGTATGCTTGCCGATGAATATGAGGCCTCGAAGACCTCGTTACGTGTTACGGATGTTTAGAATGGTACGTATGCGTGTACGAGAGTGTACGTTTCAGACAATCACGTTCATCTCTTGAGCGTCTCTCTTCTTCCAGCCTCGGCAACCTAGCAAGAGCGTGGCGCGGCGTTGCCTCGTCGCGGATTACAAACGTATCCATTATCCGCTTTATAAAATTAACCGTGATGAACGCGAGAGGAAAAGAAAGAGAGAGAGAGAGAGAGAGAGACTTCGTACAACATGAACGCGAATCATCGGTAGCTGTCGATGATAAATCTAAGATCGAAATAAAGATAGAACACTTAAGAAATAAATATTGATTTTTGTTATCAGCACAATCAATAATTATATTAATAATTAATAATTAATTATAATTAATAATTGGTCAATCGATGAAATCGATGGCCAATGATTTGGATGTTATTGAAAAATAATGATCAGACTCCAACGATATCATTGCGTCCCGAAAATGTGTTAAAGATTATAAATTTCGAATGAATGCTGTCACCCGCCTAAGCGCATTAAGTGATTTAGTTTAAATAAATCGTGTTTTTGCTCGTATGAATATCCCTTGGAAGATATTCGTCGAAAACAAGGTATTCCCTGGATTAGTCCGAATTGACCGAGAAACACACTGTCCTCGCACACAGCCCCTTTTCGCTCCCGAAGCGCTCATTCAGAGGCCAGAAATTTTCCATTACAAGCAAACACACAGCCTCCGCTGATTCAAAGCACCATGCTCGAGAGCGAAAGGGTCTCCCTCATCCTTACCATCCACTTCTCCGTCCCACGCCTAAATCCGTGCCTGCGAGTCATTATCTT